TTTAAAAAAATGGTCCTTTATATAGGATGTTAAGATCACTAAACATTTATGTAAAATATCAAAAATAGCAATCACATACCAATATGTACAAGATGTTACTAATACTTCCTGGAAATTAATACACAATTACATCAAATACAGATTTATCTTACAAATAGAAAGATAAGTCATATATAGTGCAATGCAGTACAACTAAAATATTAAAAAAAGCATTATCAAATTCTAAATTTTAACAAAATTTACAATTTGAATAAACTTTCAAAGGTGAATTGATACTTTTCCCCTCCTTCGGTGATCGTACGGACCCGCTGTTTCAATTTGATGGGGTCGTAAGCTGTAATGTATAAACGAAGTTCTAGAAGATTTATGGAATTTTTCAAATGTTTTAAAAATTTTATTTTCTTGGAAACAAGGAAATTGTATAATCTGTGACTATTATAATTTAGCTTAGGACAAAAATCACTATGAACAGTTTGTACACTCTCTTCGTCCCATGAAAGGAAACCAGTAGGAAACTGATTCCTTGTCCGGCATATTCAATGAAACATGCATAAAAGAAGGATTGCTGCCCATATGTACAATATATATATGAGTATGTATTTATCTGACAATTTGAAAAAAAAATTCTATTTTGATATGTTTCCCCGCTGAATCGACCGCATCATAAAAATAATTTTATTTGAACAAAATCTACATTAGCGCGAATAAACGTTATTTATGTTCATCATATAAACGCTTTACAGTCTCTACTTAATTGCGTCGCGAAATAAATTTGTTTTTGAGTAATTTGAACTCATTTTTTTTAAATATTTGAAGTTTTTATTTACATACATATATATATATATATATATATATATATATATATATATATATATATATATATATATATTTAGTTGGATTGATATGAGTTTGTTACCCTGGGTTTCAAACTATTTGCCATCGATCAATCCAACTAAATATATCAATTCTATCACCGATATTGAGCGCTTACCATAAGTACTGCGCATATATAATATATAAATAATATATATATATATATCAATTTATATATATACATTTATATACATACACATTTTATATATATATATATATATATATATATATATATATATATATATATATATATATATATATATATATATTTATATATGTATATATATATGTATATAAATAAAAAAAGAAAGAACAGTAAGATATATAATCCGGTGTTCTTGTAGGTTTTTTTTATTAAATTCGTGGCTTTTATTTCCATTTTGAAACATGGTTAGAACTTTGTAGCGGAAAAAAAATATATTTTATTCAATTAATATTATATATATATATATATATATATATATATATATATATATATATGTGTGTGTGTGTGTATTAATTTGAACAAAGTTTCTATAAACAATTTTTTTTGCTATATTCTGCCAGTCGAAATGATGGCATATGCATGACATCGCCAGTGAGACTCGGTTTATTATTTTACTTTATTTATTTACTTATTTGTATTTATTCTTTATTTTAGCCTTTATTTATTTTATTTTATTATTTTATATTTAGTATTTCTAATTTATTATTATTTTTTGTATGTCTAAGTATATGTAATATATGTTATTAAATAGAAAATTTAACTTGCCCCTACTGTGCGGATTTGTCTCGGCGGAAGTGAGTCGGAAAATATGGTACTGCAAAATGTTTATTTGTATATGTACGAGTACCTTTTATATTCATTTGTTTTTATCTTGATGTTTTCACATATATTTTCAGTATTAATTTGGTAGAGCTAATACGATAAAATGAAACAGCCTGTTTATATATTATTCCTAAAGGTTCTCATAAATGATGGCATTTTCCGTAGGTCTTTGTGTAAATTTTATTTACATTAATTTTAAAACACTATAATCGACTATCGTCCGGTTCAAACGCCTCCCTTGTTTTTTTTTAAATTGGGGTTGAGTTTTATTCCTTGTTTCCTCTTTAGAATTTTGCTTCCGGTTCCTTCGAAAGTCTTTGAATTCCTTGAATTTTCTCTTTCAGTCTCAATATCCTTTAATGTAGTAGGTTAATGACATTATCCCTTTGTCGTTACACTAATCTAACTGCACATAGTAACTGTTATAGAGTCCACCCTTTTTTCATACAAGTGGACTCGCCCAGAGTGTACTTGTACTGCTGCCGGTGAATGCCCGGGATATAGAGAGATAGGGAGATACACTGATAGAGTGATACAGTGAACAGTGAGAGAGTAAGAGTGTGAGGTAACTGCTTTGTAAGAGTCACAGTTGCGAGCACGTAGACTCAGAAGGAAGTCGTACTTCAATACTTAATTTCCCAGACTATATATGTATTATTATTGCTACTAACCGCATTCCTGGATCTACTAACCGTATTACCAATTGTATTATTACGTCAATATATTTATTTGCTATATTTCATTCCTGCGTTTTTTATTCATTTGAGACCGGATTTCATCTCGGAATCCACAACAGTAACCCTGCATCTTGAGTGGCTCTTGGGCCTTGTAATGGATGAATATTAGTAAAAAAAAAGAAAAGAAATCAAATTCAGATAAAAACGGTGGCCGGGATAAAGGGTTCCGTTAGAAATTCCAACTTATATCACTTGAAGGATTCTGGAGCGTACAAAAATCAAAACGATGAAGATAACAGTCAAAACAATGTAATTAGCGTAAATATCCTCAATCTTTGTTATTATTTGAACAAAAGCTTTATTGTCATAGAGCACAATAAATCCCAATTTTAAAAAAGAGTCACAATTGAATAAATGCTGATTTTTAGTCAATGAATAAATTTAACACTAAGTCAATTACAGCAATGTATTTTGCTCAGTATAATTATTAAATTATTTTTTTTTACATACATAAAGAATGTCAGCATTTGTAGAAAAGATTGATAACATACAATAGCCAACTTCTAGAAATTTTCAAAAAAAGGTTTGACATTCTTTTGAATTTGCTATATCGTACCAAATCCATTTCATAATTTGTCTCTGAAAATAGTCGATACTCCCTAAATAAAAACCGTCTTGGGTAAGACGATAAACTAAATCCGACAGCAAGGCCTCTGAGGAGGAGGTTTGTAGGAGCGTAGAACCACCTCTTAATTTCTGGTGTTCCCATCTCCACCCTGACTAGGGTGGTAGCACCTCTTAGGGTCCCAGCTCTGGGCAAATAGTTAATACCTCAAATTCGGGTCAAAACACTATGAAAGTGGTAAATAGGTTTTAGTACCAGCAGGAAATTTTTGTAAAAAAAATATTACCAGCAATAAATTTGGAAGACAAAATTAATACTAGCAATACATTATCAGCGATACATTTTTGGAAAGGATATTACTAGTAATATATTGTTGAAAAAAAATAATTACCAGCAATAAAAATCTTGTTGGCATTAAATAACCCATTGAGGTTGATATGCCGTAAAACAAACCAAACTAAAGGAAACCAAACTAAATAAAAGTTAATCTAAATTACAAACAATATTAGAACATATACTCTCTTTGTGCCGTTGGATGGGAAGAATCGATATCTGGCTGAATCTCAAGTGCCTTTCGGAATTCGTTTATTATTTCTGTAATCTTCCCTTTTTGACTGAGGGATACAATTCCTTTAAATATTCTATCCTCATAAATTCGGCTGGCTTGCAGACAAAAACAAAGCGCGCAAGAATGATTTTGCTTTATTTCGGCATAGTTTTTGGACCTTCTCCACAAGAGAATATAGAAAAAGACGAATTTCGCACGACGAAATATCTACACAATCATCATCCTGAAAAGATACAGAGCCAAAAACAAGTCTATGAAAAACTAGTATTATTTTTTTTTTACGTCTAAGGTAAATGTTCACTAATTTTACTATGTAAATCTGTGAAATAATAAAATCGACGTCTAACAATGTATTCATCTACACACAGATATATTAAGAAAATGCAGTGGCAAAAGAGTGTTTTCATATATTAGAATAATAAAAAAATAAAAGCAACAGTCTCAACATAATAAAAGCAACAGACACAACCTAATAAGAGCAACAGACTCAACCTAATAAAAACAACAGACTCAACCTAATAAATGCAACAGACCTTATCTAATAAAATTAACAGTCCCAAACTATTAAAAGCAACGGCCCCAATCTAATAAATGCAACAGACCAAGCCTAATCAAATCAAGATACCTATCCTAATTAAAAGCAACAGGCTCAACTTAATAAAAACAACTAACCCAACCGAATAAAAGCAACAGATCCAACCTAATAAAAGTAAGAGACCTAAATTTATAAAAAGAAAAGACCCAATCTGACAAAAGCAACAGACCTAATCTAATAAAAGCAACAGAACTAAACTAGAAACAAACAGACCTAGCCTAATAAAAGTAACAGACCAAACCTAACAAAAACAACAGATCCAAATTAATAAAAGCAACAGACCTAACTTAATAAAAGCAATAGGCCCAATCTAATGAAAGCAACAGACCCAACCTGATAAAAGTAACAGACTTAGCCTAATAAAGCAACAGAACCAATCTGACAAAAGCAACAGACCCAACCTAATAAAACCAACAGATCCCACGTAATAAAATCAACAGACCTAAAGTAATAAAAGCAACGGATCCAGCCTAAATAACGCTTTTTTTCGAATGTGGACTTGTTGTTTTGGCTTCGTGTAGAAACTAAATAAAACCTTCACTAAGAACTAAATTATAGCTATTCTCAAACAACACATTATATTCGTTAATGGATTTGTTTTTTTACGGCTTATCAAACTTTGACAGGGTAAAGCCAGAAACTATTTTATATTGTAAGAATTTTTCAGATAATGACAATTTACTGATACAAGTCATACTAATTCACCCATAGCTGGGAGAGTTAACATGTGGATTCATACATTTATCAAGAGCATTTACGCGTAAGTGAATATAACGCACCTGACTGAATTGGAACGCAACTCTACGATTTTGAATTCCGTCTCCTTATCAATTGCACCATCCGTAAGTCCTAAGCTTACAGTACGTGGTATTCTCAACAGTTTACCAGTCTACGTACGCACCAGGCTCGGCGGTGCTTAACTTCCGTGATCGTACGGGAAACGGTGTTTCAGAGATATAACCAAATGCCACAACAGAGTATAGAGAGATAGACATATATACTAAAAATAAGAGGAAAGTTTTTAAAAATTTAGAAAATGGCAAAAAAATTATGTGCTGGATTGTCTTTTTGTACACACACACACACACACACACACACACACACACACACACACACACACACACACACACTCGCACGCACACACACACACACACACACACACACACACACACACACACACACACACACACATATATATATATATATATACAGGTACTATGAGAACCAATAGAACATACTTCCAACGTATGTAGCATTTAAAAGATAACTCAATACAATAAAGACCATTATTAATTATGTTAGGATATTACTAAAAAAAAGATGTAAGAATACAACACGACTGTAATTATGTAGTCATTCTTACATGTTTTTACGCGTTGAAACACGACTGCAATTGTCTTTTTTTTAGTGTATATATATATATATATATATATATATATATATATATATATATATATTTATTTAAAAATATGATTCAACGCTACATAAGAATTCTCATGTTTCAAAACAACAATGAAACCTTCAATATAATTATTTGAATTAAATTGAATTAAAGTACTAAGCTCTGTTCCATCTTCAAGCGAAATTTAAAAAAAAAATTAATTCAAAATATTATATTGAAGTTTTCGGCTTTTGTTTTGACACATGAGAACTCTTATGTAGCGTTGGAATCATATTTTAAATAAATAATTATATTTATGTTCTACTTTTGTATCGAGCACTATTTTTTAAAAATAATATCAAAAATACTAAGGAACTTTGGATTATTTACCTAACGAGTTCTTTCCTATTTTTTATATAATGTTATACACACACACACACACACACACACACACATATATATATATATATATATATATATATATATATATATATATATATACCCAAGTATAGAATTGGTATATACCGAATAAATTCCAATAACCAAAAATATTGTTCTTAAAAGAGTGCTTAATACAGAGTAGAGCAAATTCATTCGCAAATTATAACATAAATATGTTATAAAATCACTAAAAAAATAGCCATTTTCTTTAAACACATCTGGTATCTTTTCAAGGGATGAAGTTGAATGTAGAATAAAATGATTCTACATTCAACACAAACACCCTGGCCAGGGGATTATTAAGTACATACTGATGCAAAATATAGAGAAAATAATTAAAATATCCTTAACAAAATAATTTAGTTGGTCTTTCACTAGTCTTCTGTAAATAAATTGTATAGAGAATCATCATAAACTTGTTTCCACTTCATGATTGCCTCAATCATTAAGCTAAATCATATATAGCGTTTATGACGGCGTACAAGGCGACTTTTTGCCTTCAAAAATCTCAAGATAAATAGCCACCGTCTTATACTCTGCGTAGAAATTATGAATCTTAAATCCTGTGGTGTTAGCATGGGAGATTTTTTACGGTAAGCTAACCCCTGGCTCACCCCGCCTTTTTTTTTTTGATGATTTAAAAAAAAACACAATTCGGTGGGTGTCGCCACAAGCCGTTTAAAATGCGCATTCGTGAACAGTGTAATGAGTGGATAGTTAGCGGGGAAAATCATTCAGGCTACCGAAATAACCTATCAAAAACAACTCACTCACTTATGGGGTATTGTAGATTGTCGTGGTTAATTGACAATATCTACCCATGCTTTTTTCATTAGAATTTGTGTGGAAAGAATGTATATGCTTACTGTGTCATACGGAATTTGAAGTTAAAATAATTTGAAAGTTTGTTTGATGTCGTCTTATATGACCAGTCGTCTTGTACGACATAATATATATATATATATATATATATATATATATATATATATAAATGTTTTGTGTGTGTATTTATATATATATATATATATATATATATATATATATATATATATATATAATTGATTTAAATATGTTTTTCCGCTACACAGTTCTAAACATGTTAAAAAAATGTAAGCTAAAATGCTTTTAGCTTCCATTTTTGAAACATGGTTAGAACTGTGTATGGAAAAAACATATTTTAAATCAATTAATTTATAATATTAATGCTCTGTAAATTTACATTGAGCACTATTTTGTAAAATAAAAATATCTATAAGCACACCTGATTATATATCTTACTGTTCTTTTCTTTTTATGTAAATACATACATACATATATATATATATATATATATATATATATATGTAAAATTTCAGATATATTTAAAAATGTATATGTATTCCTCCTCTGATTGACTATAAGGATCTACGTATGTAGCATTTAAAAGATAACTCAATACAATAAAGACCATTATTAATTATGTTAGGATGTTACTAAAAAAAAGATGTAAGAATACAACACGACTGTAATTATGTAGTCATTCTTACATGTTTTACTGCGTTGAAACACGACTGCAATTGTCTTTTTCTGTTAGTGTATATATATATATATATATATATATATATATATATAATTGTTTATTTTAAAAATATGATTCCAATTTTACATAAGAATTCTCATGTTTCAAAACAACAGCCGAAACCTTCAATATAATTATTTGAATTAAATTGAATTAAAGTACTAAGCTCTGTTCCATCTTCAAGCGAAATTTAAAAAAAATTAAAAAAAAAATATTATATTGAAGTTTTTGGCTTTTTTGTTTTGACACATGAGAACTCTTATAAAGCGTTGGAATCATATTTTTAAATAAATAATTATATTTATGTTCTACTTTTGTATCGAGCATTATTTTTAAAAATAATATCAAAATACTAAGGAACTTTTGGATTATTTACCTAACGAGTTCTTTCCTATTTTTATATAATGTTATACACACACACACACACACACACACACACACACACACACACACATATATATATATATATATATACCCAAGTATAGAATTGGTATATACCGAATAAATTCCAATAACCAAAAATATTGTTCTTAAAAGAGTGCTTAATACAGAGTAGAGCAAATTCATCTGCAAATTATAACATAAATATGTTATAAAAAATCACTACAAAATAGCCATTTTCTTTTAAACACATCTGGTATCTTTTTCAAGTGATGAAGTTGAATTTAGAATAAAATGATTCTACATTCAGCACAAACATGGCCAGGGATTATTAAGTACATACTGATGCAAAAATATAAAATGCGCATTCGTGAACAGTGTAATGAGTGGATAGTTAAGGGGAAAATCATTCAGGCTGAAATAACCTATCAAAACAACTCACTCATATGGGGTATTGTAGATTGTCGTGGTTAATTGACAATATCTACCCATGCTTTTTTTTCATTAGAATTTGTGTGGAAAGAATGTATATGCTTACTGTGTCATACGGAATTTGAAGTTAAAATAATTTGAAAGTTTGTTTGATGTCGTCTTATATGACCAGTCGTCTTGTACGACATAATATATATATATATATATATATATATATATATATATATATATATATATGTTTGTTTGTGTGTGTTTATAAAACATATATATATATATATATATATATATATATATATATATATATATAAATTGATTTAAAATATGTTTTTCCGCTACACAGTTTTAAACATGTTTCAAAAATGTAAGCTAAAATGCTTTTAGCTTCCATTTTTGAAACATGGTTAGAATAGGAAAAAAACATATTTTAAATCAATTAATTTATAATATTAATGCTCTGTAAATTTACATTGAGCACTATTTTGTAAAATAAAATATCTATAAGCACACCTGATTATATATCTTACTGTTCTTTCTTTTTATGTAAATACATACATATATATATATATATATATATATATATATATATGTAAAATTTCAGATATATTTAAAATGTATATGTATTCCTCCTCTGATTGACTATAAGGATCTACGTATGTAGCATTTAAAAGATAACTCAATACAATAAAGACCATTATTAATTATGTTAGGATGTTACTAAAAAAAAGATGTAAGAATACAACACGACTGTAATTATGTAGTCATTTCTTACATGTTTTTACTGCGTTGAAACACGACTGCAATTGTCTTTTTCTGTTAGTGTATATATATATATATATATATATATATATATATATATATAATTGTTTATTTAAAAATATGATTCCAACGCTACATAAGAATTCTCATGTTTCAAAACAACAGCCGAAACCTTCAATATAATTATTTGAATTAAATTGAATTAAAGTACTAAGCTCTGTTCCATCTTCAAGCGAAATTTAAAAAAAAAATTAATTCAAAATATTATATTGAAGTTTTCGGCTTTTTGTTTTGACACATGAGAACTCTTATGTAGCGTTGGAATCATATTTTAAATAAATAATTATATTTATGTTTCTTTGTATCGAGCACTATTTTTTAAAAAAATAATATCAAAAAATACTAAGGAACTTTGGATTATTTACCTAACGAGTTCTTTCCTATTTTTTATATAATGTTATACACACACACACACACACACACACACACACACACACACACACACACACACACACACATATATATATATATATATATACCCAAGTATAGAATTGGTATATACCGAATAAATTCCAATAACCAAAAATATTGTTCTTAAAAGAGTGCTTAATACAGAGTAGAGCAAATTCATTCGCAAATTATAACATAAATATGTTATAAAATCACTACAAAAATAGCCATTTTCTTTAAACACATCTGGTATCTTTTCAAGTGATGAAGTTGAATTTAGAATAAAATGATTCTACATTCAGCACAAACACTTCGGCCAGGGATTATTAAGTACATACTGATGCAAAATATAAAATGCGCATTCGTGAACAGTGTAATGAGTGGATAGTTAGCGGGGAAAATCATTCAGGCTACCGAAATAACCTATCAAAAACAACTCACTCACTTATGGGGTATTGTAGATTGTCGTGGTTAATTGACAATATCTACCCATGCTTTTTTCATTAGAATTTGTGTGGAAAGAATGTATATGCTTACTGTGTCATCCGGAATTTG